GAATTAGAGGAAAGCTCTATGGAAGTAAGGTTTTACAAGTAAGGTTTATAAAGTGTGGCTATGATGAAATATTAATTAGTGCTTACTTATGGAAATTTTTGAAGCCTCAAGTGGATTTTGCTCAACGTGGGAGTGGTTATGCCATATTTTTTTCTGGAAGCTGAACTACGTTCTAAAGCTTATTGAATATTTTCTAGATTCAAATCCTTACTCACACACTTGGTTTTTGTGGATAGGAGAAACCAACTATGCTTATCCCCAAAGAGAATCTGCATCTATCATAGTACTTTGATTGTAAATTAACAAAATGAACCTTGATACATCAAAATTGCATTACGTGGCACATTAGCAACAGTATAGACCGCGACGAATTATTTATAAGAATAGATGATTGCTCCAGTTCTAGCCCCAATTGTCACCAGATACTTAGACGTGAATGCATGAGATTTAGAATAGCGGGTTGCTTAGTCTAATATTTAGATCGTTCTATATTCCTGCCATCTTTGGATCCCTGGCTTTTTTAGCCCACGCTTTGTTTTCTTTTAAAGGGTACTGCCATCGTGGTTTCCATCCATGAGTAGCCACTTTCCCCGAGATTAATGAAGAAAGAAAGAAAGACTTGGAAGTGGGAGTACAAGGCGATGTGCTTTTCTCGTGCAAGACATGGCTGGACCCCGAGCCCAGTCTTCCGGCAGCAAACGATCATCAAACACCAGGTTGTTGACTAGTGGCCCAACCCCAACCAACCCTTCACACGCCAATGCGCAACGAAGGAAAAAGAAGGAAAAGAAGGATCCGTCCATCGCCAGTCCTGTCTCAACATTAATTATGCATGATCCAAAAGCCATTTATTTTTAAGAAGCTCGATTTCATCTCGCCCGTCGCCTTCCGCAGCCCCCGCCAGGATCCTGCAAGCGAACCATTCCCTCCGGCAGCCCGCGTGCGCAGGAAGACCGAGTCGTCAAGATTTCGTGCGACCTGCCGCTCCAAGCATCCCAAACTTGCGCCCAAAGCACGGAAGGCAAATCAAAGCAAAGCAAAAGCCAAGCAAAAGCCAAGCCGGTCAAACACCAAGAATTCTCAATTCCTTTACTGCACTTTATAGAAATACTATGAGATCGCGGTACGATATATGTCTATTCTGGGTTAGCTCCATGTTACGTGGTTGGTTTGAACCATGTACGTGGTGATGGGGTTTGAATTTATTTGTGCTACTACGCGTAGAATGAACGGAAGAGTCAGGCGAAGTGCATGGAAGCGAAGCGAAATTATAACGACGAGTCGTGGGCTGCGGATCACCAGCACGTTGACTGCACGTAACGATCGCCGGCGAGGAACCGTCTCGAGAGTTGACACTAGTCGGCCCTCGAGTCTTGACTTGCATGGCGCTCCCTCCTTTTGACTTGCGGTGCACGTTCAGCACTGAACGTCTTTCGAACCCATCGCCTCCTTCCCGGCGTCCTCCCTCTTCCTCCTGGTTGCAGTCAAAGGTCGACCGTCGACCACCTCCTGACGCGTCGACAGCCATGGTACAAACTTACCCGGTTTTAAAAAGACTCATTAAATCACTGCGACTGCCGCGGTTGGCAGGCAGTCGTGCACCTCTGCCACGTGTACTGCTTTCGATGGACTAATACTAGAACTGACCAATGGCCGATGTCCCGCATCCTCCTGGTTTCCGCGGCCCAGCATCTGAAGAACGAGAACACAAGCCTCATATACCACGTGGCACGTCCTCATTTGCTCGCGAGACTAGACGAGCCTGCTCAGCATTAAAGGAAACACACAGCCGTTAAGACAGTTATATCTATGATTGAATTCAGATAGCCTTATGCTTTAATTAAGCAACTTAACGAGGTTGTGTTCCGTTAGTTCCGTTACTTCGGTAACTTCGGTGAGTTAAGATGCACCCGTGGTCCCGCGGGAGGACTGGTCTGGAACTCTGGGCGGACTCAACTCTCTGTCCAAGTCATCACACAAGAGGTGACTCGGAGGACTTCCCGCCCAACGAACGTCCGCCAGGCGCAGTAAAGTATCTACTACGTTAAATGACAAACGTAGACAGTTTAGCACAACCTCGTTGCTCGACTTTAACTTGAAGCTAATTTGTCTTCATTCCGAGTTTAGTGTGCTCCAACTCACTTTTCCAGATAAGATAAGTGCATAACGCGATTGGTGCGCGAGGCGAGTATGGACTTGGTACAGAGCTCATCCAACCCGACTGTGAACAGGACCTCGTCTACCACAGTGCGCGCTGGCTGGACTCCAGGCAGCGGACCATCGGTCCGCTCAGCCATTCCTCTCCTTTATATAGTAAGTGGTCTGAGGAGGCAATGGGCTGTTCGGATTGAACTCTATCCTTGTCAATGCCTGTCAGAGGATTGGGATGATGATGATGATGGTTGATGTGGTGGACGCTTACTTGTGCCGATATACGTACAAATACTTGTACTTATCATGATGGATGATGTCGATGGACGATGTGTGCAAGCATCCACATCGCCGTTCCTCCCCCACCATCATCCACTGAAGTAGTCGTTGTCGGGCACTAGGCAAAAGTGCAAACGTTGCGCGAGAGTTTTGATTTTGAAAGAACTGAAAGTGGTCAACCGTAACTTATGCTCTACTAGAACAGTCTACTAGATGCAACCGGCGATTCGACCCCTTCTACCTTTCTCTCGTATTTTGTACATTCGCTTTTCTCAAAGGAGCGGCTTTTGGGAAAGCGCCTGCATGGACGGGAGGGAGGGAGGGAGGGCGGAGAGGACGTTTAAAACCTACCGAGCACTGAACAGGCGATTGAATTGAGCCCTTCGGAGGTCTCCCCGATGTCCAAAGGTTCGAGGTGTTGTCCGGAGAGCTGCTGGGCTGTCTCGCCTCCGCAAGCCCCGTCATGCCACGAAGAGATCTCCGTATAATCATCAGATACCCGAAGGACTTCACGCTCCTAACCGACCCGACCTCTTACTATATCCGTTTCTCCAAAGGTGTTGGAGGTCCGCGGTCCTCTAGCCACATCGTCGTGGTAAAGGTCTGGGCAGTATGGCGGGAAAAGGATGCGAAAACCCATTGTAAAAGAGGATGTACCGGTGGTATGCCCCATGTGTACCCTACGGATAGATTCCTGAGAAACTCATAAACTCATAAGCAGCGCAACTTGGGGGGACCTGGGCTAAGGACCTTCGTTCTATATATAGGAAGCTAGGCGACCGCCTTATGGCACTCAAATGGGTGCGATTCTTCTCCAAATCATCATCCCGCTTACCTAACCTTCGTGGGAAACATGTGCTTATTCCCTTGCAACCACGAGAAATGTTTGAATAGACTTCACCTCTTCAATCCATCCAGGCGAGAAATGCTTTTACGACATACGTGGGCTCTATGTTGTGATAGATCTCGCTCATATATTGAGAAGCCAGCTAGCCTCACGTCTGTAGGGTGGCATGCAGCGAAGGTAGGGTGGTATTTCTTGTTCTTGGTCTCCGTAATATCTTCCTCAAGTGTTCATTTTCTCTAACATATTCTTCAAATATATTATCTTCAAGAGCATGGGTAATAAATAACTTGGGAATAAAATTTCTTCTTTGGAAAGAAATGCAATCAATTTCTCTTTAGTGAAAAGTGAAATGCAGTTCTACATATCATTTGTTGGAAACAGAAGATGATCAAATTTAACATCGGATGATCAGGCATGATTGATTATGATTCATAATGGTTCATAATGTATAAACCATGCTTTATATATTATGAACATAATTTGTTGATGATTTTTGAAAAGAAAAATCACGGTTCCATATTCATGCTTGATATCTACACGGACAAAATTTCTGACGACCCTTGATGAAAAGCCTAACAACTATTGATGATCCAGAAATAACTTCTTGGTTCTATGCCCACGCTTGCTCTGGCGTCCGACTATAGACGGGACATGCTCTGAGAGAGCGGCAGATTAAGAAAAGTACAGTATTATCGTGTGTTAGTATTGTGGACGAGTTAATATGCAAGCAAGGAGATTAGTATATGGAGCAGATGCACTAGACTATATTCTTCCATGAAGATCCGATCGAGGAGATTATCAGCAGAATATTTGGTCAAGGAAGATATCAACACACTCCAGTCATTTCCAGATGTGGATTTGGTCACTGTAGTGGCTGTGAATCCTGGAGTCTCATCAAGTGGCATCAGAGTAGTCCAAGTGGCCTCAGAGCAGTAGAAGTGGCCAGAGAATAGTCGTATGCCAGTATAGACCACCGTACTAGCAGCAAGTGTTCATCATTGAAAAAATCGACGGGACTTAAAAAATCCCGAGACAGCATCAATCTAAACATGGCTATATACTCTACACTTCCAGCTCTGAAAAGCTCTGGAGTGACCAGGCCATAAATTATTTAAAAATTGACCCCCTTAGAAGGTCTGCAAACGAGCGAACCAAAAACAGATGTGGAATATCATGGAACATTCTACGACGGATACGGGCCAAACACTTCCTTTCGACGATTTAATATTCTCATGAACAAATTCTATTTTAACGAACCGGCAATTTTTATTTGGCAATTGGGGACTATCCGCACGCTCTCCCCACACGGGGACTCGCTTCGGACTCCGAAGAGAAGACCCGAGGTCCGGACTTCGGGCAGGCAGGCAGGGAAGCAGGTTCGAGTCGGGTCGGGTTGGGTCAAGTCAGGTCAGCTCAGGTAAGGTCAAGCGGATGAAGTCGAGTCCTGAACTGTTTCGTCCTGTCCTGGAATCCGGTCAGTCTGTCGCGAGAAGAGGAACGTAACGCGTCATCGATGCCGTCCTGAGCGGCGTAGTCGTCGTCGTCGTCGCGGTCACGGTCCCGTCCAGACTCCGGTCCAAGTGCAAAGCCGAGACGTCCGCGCGTCCGTCAATTCGCCCGTCCGTCCGTCCGTCCGTCCGGCGCAACCGCCCGTCCTGGCGGCCATGATGGAGACGAGACGAGACGAGACGAGACGAGAAGCCGAGGGCGGCAGGGAACCCGCAGGGAGGAGGCAGAGGCGCGGTGGTAGGGCTGGGCAGGGCAGGGCAGGGCAGGGCAGCGCCGCGGGGGGCAGGAGCGCACGGCGCGAGCGGTGGTAGAATCTCGAGCGAGTGAGAGCCAGAACGGAGAGAGAGAGAGAGAGAGAAAGAGAGAGAGAGAGAGAGAGAGTGGGGGGAGGGGGAGAAGAAGACGTCAACACGAACGACGCAAAAGGGAAGTGGGGGATTAGGATTAGGGGAGAAAGAGAACGGGGAGAGGGGAACGGGAAGGAGGGACCGGCGAGCGAGAAGGGGGAGGGGGAAGATGGACGAGGGTGCGCCTGCGTTCCGCTTCAACTTCGCTGCGCCTGCTCCTGCTCCTGCTGCCGCTGCCGCTGCTGCTTGTGCTTGTCCCAGTGCAGGAGAAGCACGTCAGGAGACGCAGGTTCGGATTGTTTTCGCCGCTACATCTGCCCCCTTCTTCCAAGCGTTGCCTGTATCTTTCTCAGCATCATATAGACAGCTATCCTGCTTCGTTGTGGCCTACTCCGGTTTGAAGACAGTGTTCGAGAGTTTCTCCTGTTTCCCTCCCCCCTCCCTCTCCCTCTCTCTCTCTCTCTCATTTTCTCTCTCTCTCTCTCTCTCTGCCTCTGTCTCTTTTTCTCTGAGTGCCCCGGTGCTTCTCTTGGTCTTGGTTTGCTGCTTTTAGATTTTCTGCTTCTTTTCTGTGTCTCTGCCAGCCCATCGTGCAGATTTCGCCTTTGCATTCGTCATAGATCCGTGGTTTGGTAGTCTAGTCGTACTGGGAAGATCCGGTGTCATGGTTAGTTTACGTACAGGCTCCTTTCTGCCTAAAGTTGGGTAAAATTTTCTCTCTCTCTTTCACCTGCCCATTCTTGTCTGCTACCAGCAGCAGCAGAGTATCGTCATCAACGTGACATGCCCTTTCTGCGCTTCGTTTCCCTCTTGTTGTTGGTGTTGTTGTCTCCGGCCTCTGGTCTATATAGCGCGCGCTGAAGCTTGAGCTTCGGTAGGGGCCTGATCTGAACTGAACGTTTGTGCTCTTGACTCCTGCCAAGTCCTCCTCTCTCTCTCTACCTGAGTCTGTCCGTCGCTGCAATTCAACGGCGTGACCTTATCCTTTTGAATTGCCGACTGTAGTCGTGTATTAATCGTATCTGCAATTGACAACGACCCAATTCTTTCCATTCTTCACACACAGTTCGTCGATAAAGCTCTGCCGAGTTCTGATTTGCAAGTGTTGCCACTCTCTCCCGACCGAGAAGGTCTGTCTGTGGCTTGAGCTTGTGTCAGCCGTCATTCCCGTTTCCAGTACTGGAAGGCTTGCGAGGCATTTAGTGTTGTTTGGTTTGCACGAGGTCTTACCTGAGTGAGTATCACCAAGGTCGGAGGGAATGAGGGCCCCCTCGGTTTTTGCGTGCCTTCCTGGCTTGACCCCCCAGTGTTTGCTTCAGAATTTTGATAAGCATAACTCACTGCTCGGGTACGATGACGATGCTGTTTTGCCTCCGGCTCCACCGCCCCGAGAAGTCTTCCCGAACGAGGTGCGTTCTCTTCGCCCGGTCCCCGAATTTCTTGCCAAGTTGCTCTTGTCTAGGAAAGAACGAGATGACTCTACTGATACATCCTTTGAAGATTCACGTATCTGGACACCGAGGGCCCAGTTTGTCGCACATTGCAAGGGCAGATCTGCCACGTCGCAGTTTCTTGCATCCAGGAGCATACAGAGCTAGTTCGTTCTTCTGCGGAGGCAATGAAGCTGTGGCTGTGAACTAGAGGAGAATTATGGAGGTCTTATGGTGATCGCATTTAGGTTCCGAGCTCGGTAGTTTGGTGGGATGGATGGATTGGAGGAATCAGGCTCGACGTAACTGATCCTGGAGGAGGGAGGTTCAATTTTCTTAGGCTAGTTAGTGATTACGAGGTGGACCACTTGCTGCACTCTGACATCGAGCACGGCAGACTCGCTCTGTATGGTCCTCGTGCTCGTCCTAAATCGTGTTCTTCCCACACAGGGAAATTCTTCGTACACTTGGTAATGAGTTGATGACCGATGTCTTGTGTCATCAATCACGTGGAAGCGATTCGAATTTGAGATTTTTTTTGTTCCGTTGGAATCTTTCACGATGCCAAATGGTTGCGTCGTCAACCATCTGTCTTCAGAATCGCTTCAGTCACCCGATGCTCGTCAATTCGAAGCAGAAATGCTCTTTACCTCTTAGAGCGCTTGCATAGAACGTATGCGATTACATTTCATCGGTGGAACCTTTGGAGGTCCTCGCACAGCGATATCAGGTGTTGCACTACGGCATTGCGAGTCAGAAGCCCCTTACAAACTGCGGCCAAGGATGAGACGCGTCTGTGAGCATTGGTCTGGCCATACAGTACATGTAGAGTTGTATGACTCGTCTGTCAAGAAAGCGTTTACGAGTGGTCACTGATATCATGATCGCGCTGCGAGGGTGAATGTCAGTTGCTTCCACTGATATAAGACAATGACCTAGAAGCAAATCTAGTCGATTTGGAACTGACTGACCTTGGAACCTGCGATTTTTATCAGGTGGCGCCCTTCAAGCCTTTTACAACGGATCCTGTCGTCTGCCAGGGCGGATTCACACTTGTGAAGGTTAGGATTCATGACCCTCGTATCCGACTCCGATTCTCTTTGTAGTTTCTCTATTTACTAGGCCATCGAGAATGAGACTAGTAATTCTGTTAGATTCTAATGGTTTCTAATCAGGTCTGTGACAGTGCGCTCGAATTGAAATTACTGAAGGTTTTCCTCGTAGGTTGTAGAGAATGGGATGCCCGCACGTACCAATATTTACCTATTCCTCTTGCTGCTTTTTCAATTGTCAGGGGCGAGTGAGCACATCTGATATTTTCGGTGTTGCGAAGACTGATCTCGTTCCAGGGAAATATGAAGGTACTTGAAAACAGGAACCAGAGCATTTTGAACATACAGCTCCGTCGTAACTACATATCTAGAACGTCCGACTTCTTCAGGAAGAGAATCCGATCATCAAGTTGTCTTTTAAATTGCACAGGGGAGTAGGGTAGCGCACAATAGATATCTTCCCTCCTGTTCCGTCTTTTAATGTCAGCTCTGCCTTGGTTCGCAGGAGGACTGAAACTTTGGGAGTGCACCGTCGATTTAATTAATACTCTGCGTCGTGAAATTAAAGATGGGCAGCTGTCGTTTCGGGGAAAGCGAGTGTTGGAGGTATGTGCACGTTTGCCAGCCGACTACTATTCTCACAGTTTTGCGTGCGAGGCTCCCAGATAGATTGGAATGCACTCAGCTTTCAGTGAGGCGGGATCTAATGCAGTTCATGTTGTATGTGAACAGCTAGGATGCGGACACGGGTTGCCAGGTATCCTAGCCTGCCTGAAGGTGAGAATTCGAGCCCAGAAGCCCAGTAGAACAGAACAGTGTGCAAAAATGCGTTTTAGGCCTACTTCTACTGAAGCATGGAAGGAAGTGAGTCTGAAATCTTGGGTCCATGTGCCGATCTTATGCAGGGAGCATCAACTGTACATTTTCAGGACTTCAATGCAGAGGTTTTGAGACATCTCACGATCCCGAATGTGGAAGCGAATCTTCAGCAAGATCAAGCTCGAAGCAAGCAGAGTGGCGCGGTGCTAGCCAAGGCCGGCCAGCCAGCCCCGGATGTGCACTACTACGCCGGGGACTGGGGCGATGTCTACGAATTGCTATCGACGGTGGGAGCGGTAGACAACAGCGATTGTAGCAGTGAAGAGGACTCGGCGCCAGTGGCTAGCACTGGCAGTGCGGAGCCTGAGAACGGTCCCGACACCACCCGGAGTGCGGGCCACTACAATTTTGGGGCCAGTGCTTTGACATCTTGCTCACGAAGACTGTCGCGCAGTAGCCGGGCTTGTGAGCAAGGAAGTGACGATGCCGCGTTGGAAGGAGGATATGATATCATTCTGATGTCGGAGACTGTCTACTCTTTAGTGTCGCTACCCAAGCTTTACGACCTCATTAAGAAGGTGCGTCGTCGTCGTCTTCTTCCTCTTCCTCTTCCTCGTGGACTTTTCCGATTTCTGCGTCTGCTGTGACCTTCTCCGGCCTTCCCCTCCTCCTCTGCACGAAAGTGTGCATGCGTGGGGTCCTACGCCGGCTACGGTGGACCGTTCCGAGCCTTGTTGTTGTCGTCGTCGTCGTCGATGCACGTTTGTTTGTTGTAGTTGCTCTTGACCGGTCGTTTCTTCTTCCTTCCCGTGCAGTGCTTGAAGCCACCGTATGGAGTTCTCTACGTGGCTGCTAAGAAACATTATTTCGGTGTGGGAGGTGGAACACGACAATTCAAGTACCTCGTTGAAGAAGATGGTACGTCTCTCTCTCTCTCAATCTCAATCTCAACCTCAATCTCTCTGGCGTTCACAGTCCGTCCGTGTGGTGACATGATGACGGGTGACAGGTTCTCGTGTGCTAGATGGATGATTCTGTTTGCTGGCCTTGCACGATGAGGGCTTGAGTGCGATGAGTCCGAACTGATGGGAGCTCTTGCGCCGTGTGACAGGTGTTCTCGGAGCCCACCTCGTGACAGATTTTGCAGACGGATCGTCGAACGTGAGAGAAATTTGGAAGTTTTTTTACAGGTCCTGAGCGAGCGAGATACAGTGAGCCAGACCAACTTTGGCAGCGTATATAAGGGGCTGCCTGCGTACAAGTTGGCTGTATACAAATTTACGGCGTAGTGAGATTAAGTGCCAAGCATTCAGATCTGGCTCGGCCTCATGACGCCATTCAGTCAGTGTACATTCTTCAATAATACATTCTTTCATTCATTTTTGAGCGAGTGCTTTTGAAGACCACCGCGGTCCGAGTACTCCTCGTGCGGCCCGGGAGTAATTTTGTCAGCAAAGCTGCACAAGCGCGGCCATTTTTGAAGCTTCTCCGAGTTACCACCGGGTTTTAGGGCCTCACCTTTTTTGTAGTTCAGGTTCCAGAACACCAGGGTCACGTGAAATCCAGGGACTCTGAACCCCTGAGCAGGAGTCTAGCCCTGCAGAATTTCTATACTATGAAGGTCTCATGTACATTGGAGTTCACTCATATTTGTCAGTCGTTGGCAACGTATTGTACGCGTCGACTTGCTTTTCTCACCTCGTTTCTTGGGCAATGACGACTCGCAGAAATCAGTCCAGTCCTGCCCTCCTGTCAGGACAGCTGAGAGTTGTCTTGCTCCTCTGTCATTCTAGCCGAGACGGGCTCTTGCTCGGATGACGACGGCGACGGGCCACATGTGTTTGTAATATAGGTCGAGTAGACTTCGCTCTGGGTCAGCGTGGGCTCATCGGAAGCAAAACACATGCGTTCAGTGTATGTACATGTCAAGTACAATAAAGCTATGTGCTTCGTGGCCTTGAGAAATTTACCCGCTCAATTGAAGGTGGTCGCGTCACTCACACAATCGCCGGTTGGTTGCATCAGCTTTCCGTCTCTCCCAAGCGCAAAATGAGTGGTAGCAATGCAGTACCCATATAATCCCTTGTCAAATGTCTCCTGCGAGGGAATGAATGTGAATCCCATCCTGTTCGACGCCTCTGTAGTCGCTGGATCGGAATTATTCATTTCACACGTGCATTTCGATGCAATAAACTCCGAACTGTCTTGTATGAAAATGAATTTGACAGGTTGAAGGCACAGGGCTAGTCGGCCTGTTCTAGTGTGAAAGCTCTTTTTCGTTAGCAACCAGGCTTCAAGATGGATCTCCGATTCATCGCAGGGCACGCCTGTCCGACAAAAGTGATGTGCAACGGTGGACATCGAGGGGCAGCAACGGGTGAAGGTGGTGCAATTTTGAGGAACTCCAAAGCTCCGAGAGCGACCTTCTTGCCGGGTGCTGTGGACTTGTACAGTTTGCAAAGGTGTCAAGAGTTTGCGATCGAACGTATTCAGAAGTGGAGGGATTCTTGCCGAGCGTGCAGACCGCACCTGGTGTGCAGTGAGGCAACACGTTTTCTGGTAGAGGAGGCATCGCCCTTTTCCTGCTTTCGGGGACAAGGTGCTGCAGAACTCTATTGAGGGAGAACCCATGGCTGATGCACCTCCTGCTGCTCCAGATGGAACCCCTGCAGCACCAGCGCCGAAGCCACCGAAGCCCCTGCCTCGCCGAGAGTCACAACGGGATAGGGACAGAGTGCAGAGAAACAGCCTTGTAAGATATAATTGACGCTTCGCCATGCACTCGACTGGAGTTTTGGGTTTCATTGACATCTACAACCCTCCCCTCCAGCTCATGGGAATTGGGACTCCAAGAAGTACGGATTGTGTTTTGTTCCTTAAGACTGATGCGCACAGGAACCCACTCTAGGTCTGGAACCCATGATTTCTGCGCGTTTGTATGTGATTGCAGTCGGAGGTGGAGGAAACCATCAAACGGATCGGATCACACAGAGGTTGCTCCGCCAACGAGTAGCATTTAACTGAATCCCGTGTGTACTGTGGAATATCTCCAAAGAGACTGATTGCCTCACTCATACCCTCTGACTGTCCGCCCGCTCTGGCCCATTCTCCGAACTCCAAGAAATGCTGTCTCTACGGAGCCAGCACGGAGGGCCGGGCGTCAGGAGCTCCCACACATCAGTCTTTAAGTCGGATTCTGTTCACTTTGCATACATCCGACCCACCACATTCAGGACTAGAACATGGATTGTGGGCCCAGTTCTTGCTACTTGCAAGTACAGTCAGTATCTTGGGCATGAAGGCCGTCGCCTCACTCGGACTCATGCTGATGCTCGGTGATTGTATCGCAGGAATCGTCGGCGTGCTGATTGCGAATGGAGATGGCATTCCCCTCAAAAGTACTCTCGACGATCAAACGACGCTCAAGGTACTTTCTACGATGCGTACACCTCAGCCCGAGATTCAGACCGCAAGGTCTGTGAAGCATGCATTCCTCCCGTTGTTGCTAACGGCCTGCCCGCTCGCTCGCTCGCTCGCTCATGCAGTACGCAGCGTTCATCACTCCTCTGGCGCACCGAGCGAAGACCATCACCAAATCTCATGATGCCAAGGTTTGGCCTCCGGACCTTTCTTTCATGCCTCGGGCATCCACCGCTCTCAAAAGCGAGGGACGCCCGAAAGCAGCTCCGCCTGCAAATCATTAAGATCACAATGTCCTTCATGATTTCCGAGGTACGGGTTTTCGTCGACGCCCAGAGCTGCAGGCCGTCCGGCCATAACTTCTCCGCCGCATGCGTGTGCGCCTGTGTGTGTGTGTGACTCGAATTGACGGCCAATTTTGCCTTGGCAGGATGAATTGACACTTCTCCGCATTCGAACGAGGACGAATGAGATCATCGTGACATCTGACCGAGACTTCTACCTCATTGTTGCTCAGAAGACCAGCTTTCTTGATTGACCTCCAGCTCCTCCTTCTCCGCATCCACTGGACCACTCACTCATCCAGCAGTTCCACAGTCGACCCTCCGGTTTGTAGGGCGATGCAGACAGACATTCTTCGGTATTATGTACGAAATCTGTTGCTGGGTTTCACGTTAGACCATCGAATAAAAGCAAATCCAACCCAAAATATAGCCCGAAGAAGCTTACAAGGATGAAATAAAATGGGTTATATGGGGCCGATGCAATTGTCTGACATATAATATAACTTCCCCAGCGGACTAAACCCTTAAAATGGTAAGGGAATGACGGGGGTGAGTCCTCAATACTCATACGCCTAACTACTGTAGGTCAAGTGGTAAAGGAATGGGGTAAGATGTAATACACCAAGGCATCGGAATTGAGTGACTCTCTTCAAATCCCTTGTTAGTTACCGAAATTTTTGTGGCCTGACCTAAACGTATTCATTAGAATTTTCATGGTTAGATCCACAAAACTGATTCTTCCTGATCTTTTCCAAACCTGCCAAAGCACATATGCTGTTTTCATTTAAGGTCCAGAGAAATCATTTCTATTCTCTAAATGCAATAATATTTGTTTCTTGAGATTGTTAACAATATTATTCCTAATATTAGAAAACGAAAATCAACACATCTCTGTAATCAAACGATCACACATGTATATATTGAACGAATTCAATTAGAAAATATTTCGTCTATTAACCATAATGTGCCTCTCCTTTATGCTCACGTATATATACAATCACAGATGCTAAGACCAACTAAAAATTTGCTGATGTACACGTTGATACGATCTTACTACTCATACTGATTCCTCATTCAAGACTGTTTTCAATAAAATAATTGAATTTTTATTAAGTTATCCCATTTGATATAAAAAATGATAATTAGTTACATCATGTTAGACACATCAAAATAGTAACAGATGTGAAAATTTTAGATTTTCAGAGCTGTTAATAATTGTTCTGTTGAAAGTTTACAGTTTTCACAATATTGTATTTAACATTTATTTGATAAAATCATATATTAAACAAATGAAAATTATTATGACTCCAATTCGGCAATCCGGTTTTGATCCCAAGCATAGGGTACTTCAAACTCTCATATTTTATTTATATTCAGTGATGATCTGTGCAATATTTTTATTTTGTATATAAATCTCAAGAGATTTCCATTTAATCACTTATTTATTTTTATTTATTTTTTATTAATATTTTTTCAATGAAACTTTATAGAAATTTTCGTATTACTACATAAATATTCAGATACATATTGATTCAATAACAAGCTGAAAACTTTACTAAATTATCATGTTTTATACAAAATCATTGATAACGTTCAAAATCATCAATTATCAAAAAAATGTATAGCAGTCAATTCCATATCTTGGATAACAGTAAATATTTGATAGTAAAGGCCTTCCAAAAAATAATTGAAACATGTAAATAATAAATTATCAATATATATATAATTTTAACATAATTATTTTATATAAATAACTAATATATCTCTATTACTTGAAAAACTGAATATATATGAAAAACTCATATATATGCCATGAAGAGTTTGTCAATAAAAAACCATTAATCATATATTTATAGGATTGCCAAAGTAAGTGAATAAAATTTTAATGAAACTCAATTATCTTTATATTTCATGAGTATTTTATATCACCTAATGTGATTGTACACTTCATGTATAATACTAATTGGTATATTTTTTGTAAAGATAAAGACATACTACATTGAAGTAATTAACATTACTGTTGAATGATACACACATCGTGCGGCCATGTATGATAGTATTTGTTTTTCTATGATTCAAAAATTATTAAATCTAAAACGTCCATGGTTGATAACTCTTATAACCGCATACGTCCATCCATATTGAAATTATGTACTTATTGAAAATTAAAATTTATTTATATATAATAAAAATTTTTTAAACAAAAATCAGTTTGAAATTATAATTATTTTGGAAAATTAATAAATATATTTTTAAAATTTTGAAGAATACAAATATATATATATATATATATATAGAAAAAAACTTTTTTTATATCAGAAAAATAAAAATCTCAAAGAATTTTAATCTTTATATCATACCAAACAATTACAACTTAACTGTATATTATATTTTGATTATAAGGATAAAATTTTAATTTATTTAAACGTTATATATTCAACTATTTTTTATTCACAAAATTATTTCAATATAAGATAAGATTATAAGTTCATAAACATTTTTAAAAATCTCATACAAATCAAATATCACAAATTGGAAAAAATTTACTTACAAAAATTTACTATTATTTTTTCATGGTAATTTTTATTTTAATAATATAATTTAAATATTAATGAATAAAATATCTATATTTCAGTCTTTTATAAAAAAAAATCTATTGAATTTTCGTTATTTGAATAGTTTTTTTAATCAAACGCTGTGATAAATTCGAGATCTAACCGTTAAGACATGTTTTTTTTTAATATATATATTTTTACGAATGTAAGTATTATCATAATAGATTTTGATTGATTTGATGCAGCATTTTGGAAGTTTTTATTAAATATATATAAATGAAAATTCAATATTTTATATTCTATCTATCTATTTATAGATATATAACCAAATCTCTGAAATGAGTTTAAGATTTGAGGATTGCGTTGTAATACAGATAAACTTTTCATTATAAAATTTTATTAATGAAGAAAACTGATTCTTCAGCGTATACCATTATGATTATATTATTATATATTATGAAAATATATGAAAAATCCATAATTTTAAAAATTAATTAATCTTCAGAGTCTTTTTTGTTACTTTTCATAGAAGAGAAACAAATTTTCATTTAGTTATATTATCTTAATAAATATATTCTGATCTTCTTTATTTGCCTGTTGAATGTATATATATCTATATAAAAACTTTTAGTGTTTTCAAAGTCTTTTCAGATTAAGATTTTATCTCATTAAAAGTAAAATGTTGGAATAAAAAATTTTGAAAAATATTTTTTTTATTCATGGGATATTTATTTGAATGTGAATGATATGCAAACCAAACGAAAAATAGATCTCTATCAACTTCATACTTACCTTATCAAACCTTGGGTATTTTTGCTTTATTACAAAAAAAACAATTCTGACTGATTAAAAGAAATTGCAGTCTTTCAAGAAAACTAAAGTAGAAGACAAAAAACCGTTATATGTAATAAAATGATTTTAAAGAACATTTTATGCAATCGGTATGTCGATAGTTTCGATGAACATACTTCCAGCGAGAAGGTTTAGACCGGTGGCCGTGAAAGGTTCGTTCGAGGCCTGGAAACTACCTAACTCAAGTCCAGTCACAAGTGAAGACAAAAGGCCGAGGAGACCGCGTTTATGGCTTCCACGATGTGGAGCGGCCCCTATTCGTTACGGGGGTTGAGAAAAAAGTTCTTTTCTGTAACGCCGCTTCTTCAAATCGCTGGAACTGCCCACGTGGCAAAGAGTCAGCTTTCCAAGGGCGGTGTTGAGGCTGCTCCGTTGCTGCTGTCCGTCCCGCCGCCCTCATCTCCGGCCCGGATATTCCACGGCAGAACAACGGGCCTGCGACCGGGGTTTCGTCGGAGAGTAACCGGCAACATTCCCTTGGACGAAGCTTTCAAGCGCGAAAAGTGGACATATTCGAGAGGAAAGAAAAAAGATCCCGACCGGAGAACCGGGAGGGGAAAGGCACAGTCAGCTTCCAGCCGGTTCTCGGTGACTCCCCGGCGTCGGTGATTCGGGACCCGCCCGCCCGCCCGCCCAAGGCTTCTTCAGCTCCGCGCGCCGCGCTCGGAGCCTGGGACCGGTGCTGACTGGCTGGCGGCTGCTAAGTTGGAGCGCGGCTCAGGGGCTCGGGGCTTTATCAGTCGATGACCGGACCAGGTCACGTCACATGGCGTCGGGCGTCATTGGACGATCAGAGGAAAGAAGTGGAGCCCGAAAGCGGAGGGCGAGAGGGAAAGGGAAAGGGGAGGGGAGGAATTGGGAGTCGCCTGCGCGACTGTAGAAGTTGATGGGCATGTTGATGATTGATCATAAATTACTGCAGATATTCATGAGGGAGTGGCGCAGCGTACGAACGCCGAATCTGAAAGCAGGGAGGGAGATGGTGGTGGTGTGAAGTGTGAGCGGAGGAGGGAGCATGAGACAGACGGAGAAGGGCCGAGGAGGAGGAGGAGGTGGAACTGGATCGATCGACGTTTCGTTGTTGATGTTGTACAGCGCGCACAGAAAGGCCGCGGGTGGCGATAGCTAGAGCCTCCTTGCGATGCGAGCTCGATAGGTAGGCTGGACGGGCGGTGCGCTCGAGCCTGTGGAGGTATTATTGTCCTTAGTCTAGATAGTATTTGGGAAAAAAACATCGAGATGGATAGTTGGAACGGCTTGCTTGAATATATTGGGAAATAAATTTGCGGGCATTGTGAAAGTATGGGACTGTCACATGAGTTGGATGGAGGGGAAACAGCTGTATATGAATTTGAGCCGACGGTATGATGCAAGCCGACAATGGGTACAAGTAACGAGAATGCACCGCGGGAAGTCCAAGGCGAGCGAGTTTAAGATGAAGCGGCATCCGATTGTAATCAGATGGAGGAGCACCAGCCCCCTTGCTCTGTAGAATTGACCGAGAGTATGGAGCGGAGTGAGTGTTTAAGGATTTCTAGATTAATTAGCAGGCATGGAATTCTGTTCTGGCTCTTGAATGGCCTGATAATTGCATCGCTCGCGAGCGTTTCTGCTTTGGTGGCTGAAGAACAACATCAACGCATCTCTGGTAGGTTTCGTGCCAAGAACAATTTGCAAGCATTTCCTTCTGTGACGAAGTTCCGAGCAAGAGGTTCATTAGGGATTGGGTTTTAGGAGTTAGAGTTTTTTGTGTGATGAAAACCACGCCAAGGATATCTGTTGACAACAATACTTTTCAAGGAATGATCCAGATGGTGACTGCCACTTGAGCATAGGAGTGTTAAGTCACTGGGAATTCTTCGATCATTCTGGATGCAGGACCTAGCTTTCATTTATTCTGTACTTAGTTTGAAAATGTGTTACGTGGCAACTCCTGTAAGGTCCAAGGTGAAGCAGCTCAAGCAAGGCAATAATGTTCATAGAGAAGTCTCGTTGTGGATATCGGATGGCATGCACAGTTTAGAACAATTCTTAATATAAAAGTGGACGTCTTCTGCTTAGTATGCCAATTTTGATTGTTTCCGGTTGAAAGAACATGAAGAGACCAGAGAGAGCATAGTATCTTGCAGGGACACATCGCTCCTAAAAGCTTCTTATTCACGACTCTATATGACCTTAAACTTGTCACCAATGTAAATGACATGTAGAGACGGAGAGAAAAAAGTAGCTTGCCCCTATTATCGTACCTGAGAGCTGAATATGCTTTACGATATGACCTTCTTGAAAGTCCAGTCAGGGTCGGTCGTCCATAGGCTATGAAACGCAAATACTCTTGAGTGCAATGTATATGACCTTGATCTGACTTGTTTGTGATACACCGTAAGGTTTGGTCGGCAGTGTCGTGAATCGTGTAATTTTGCAGTAGTAAACTTGGAATCCGTCGTTGCTCCGATTCAGCTACTGATTGATTGTGGAAATGCTTTTAGCTTTGAAAGTTCGAGACAACGTAATCTTTTTTGAGTTTGTTCAAATGTCATACAGACCAGTAGAGTTGTGGTTTGCTACATGAGGTGAAGCTTTTAGGACTTTTTTCTTGAGCCATTCTCGTTCGTTCATCCTCATGCTCATATGCTAAGTATTGAAGTTATCCATTAGCATACTCCAAGCACCTCCGTATCTTTGTGAATAATTTTAGGGCCACCTTGCTTCCTTTTCTTGAGTCGTACTGGCAAGGAAGTCGAACGTCAAGACTGTAGCTTCTGGTTGCCTGGTCGGTGTGTAGAGGTTGTTTGTATTTATCAGTATTTTATAGTGGTTATCGTAGGGTGGCAGTGGTGCAAATTCCTGTAGCGAGACTTATTTGTGTCTTTATGCTACAACGATAGCTAATAAACATATGGGTTTGTATCCAGGCATTGCTGGCGATGTTCTTGAAGATGATCCAGTTGGAAGACTGAAGGTCTTTGTTTACGAACTACCTGCAAAGTACAACACCAAATTGATTCAAAAAGATTCGCGATGTCTTACCCACATGTTCGCCACAGAAATTTTTTTGCACAGATTTCTCCTTGAAAGCCCAGTCCGCACACTAAACCCCGAAGAGGCTGATTGGTTCTACACTCCCGTGTATACCACGTGTGACCTGACTTCGAATGGCCTGCCTCTACCTTTTAAGTCTCCGCGCATGATGCGGAGTGCAATCCAGTACATATCAATACATTGGCCTTATTGGAATCGCACCGAAGGAGCGGACCATTTCTTTACTGTTCCCCATGATTTTGGAGCTTGCTTTCACTACCAGGTACTGCGAGCATCAATCTCTTTCTTGATGCTTATGTAGTATTTGGACGCCTGGTTTCAATTCGGATGTTTTCAAAGCTTACTGTCTTGGCTTGATAAGTACGGTGATGTAGTCGAATGTCTTGATAGCTGAATTGTAGCAAAGTCGTGCATTTTGTATGATTGAATCAATGTGTCGAATGCGTTCGGAGTTCCTTCTCATAGGCCTCATAGGCATAAGTTTTTATCTCTTTTTTCATGCATGGAAACTTGTCCTCTGTTTATCTTGATATAACCGCATACAGGTCAAGTTTGAGTTATGGAAAAGTCTTTGGTTTTAGCTTGACTGGTGGAATTGGTGGTTGTACAGGAAGAGCAGGCAATCCAGAGAGGGATATTGCATGTACTGTCACGTGCGACATTGGTACAGACATTTGGACAGAGATATCATGTATGCTTGAAAGAGGGATCCATTGTCGTCCCACCTTATGCCCCACCTTCAAGGATGCAGTCACGTTTTATACCGCCTAGCACTCCCCGCTCAATCTTTGTGTATTTCCGGGGTCTTTTTTATGACCCTGGGAATGATCCAGAAGGTGGTTACTACTCGCGGTAAGCACACAATCATGTATCAAAGCTTTTAGAATTATCGCTTAAGGAAGTTGAATGTGGTACTGTTAATTGACATGTGTATCCTCTGTATGATTGCTAAAAGTACACTTGGCGACGATTCTGATGTGAGATTTCATTGTAACTGAATTTTCCTCATGGCCAATGGTTTCACAGGGGTGCTAGGGCCGCAGTCTGGGAGAACTTCAAGAACAATATACTTTTTGACATTTCATCTGAGCACCCTGCAACATACTACGAGGACATGCAAAGATCTATATTTTGTCTCTGTCCATTGGGCTGGGCCCCTTGGAGCCCTCGCCTTGTGGAGGGAGTCCAGTTTGGCTGCATTCCAGTCATCATTGCAGACGACATCGTCTTGCCATTCGCAGATGCTATCCCTTGGGAGAAGATCGGGATCTTTGTTGATGAGAAGGATGTGCCGATGTTGGACAAGATTCTAGCGTCGATACCTCCGGAGCAAGTTTTGGAGAAACAGAGACTTTTGGCAAATCCGGCAATGAAGCAAGCAATGCTTTTTCCCCAGCCTGCACAACCTGGAGATGCCTTCCATCAGATTCTGAATGGACTTGCGAGGAAGCTGCCTCACGATAGCAGCATTTATCAAGATTCCGGTCAGCGAGTTCTGAATTGGACCACTGGACCTCCAGGCGATTTGCATCCGTGGTTTGGAGACAAGGCGTCGTAAAACTAAGCATGCTCTTTCGGCAACTCTTTACACTTGTTTGCAGGACATTAGAACATTCACTCCCGATTCTTTATATTTCTGGATGTGCCTGCCATAAACTTTCTAAGCTCTTCTGGCAAGGTTTCTCTCCAGAAGCAAGACTACAGGTGGAGACGTGAAGACTACAGTTTTCCACTCATAGTCGGTGCTCCCCCAGTGTAGTTGCAAATGGTTCTGTGCTAATCATTGTTGAGACACCATGACTGCCGTCATTAGACCCTCTGGTGCTTCTGTGTACAAAATATTCTTCCGGCGTCTGGTTTTGGGTTCCATCGCACTTGTAACTCTACAATCTAATGTGATCAAAATGGAATAACAGCGCCTACAGCTTGTGGCTCCATGTTCAGCTTTATACTGGTTGATATAACAATGTGTCTCTCAGGTTCATGTTCTTTTAGGCCCCACAGTTCACACCTCAAAATAAATGAATCAGCCTGTCTCATCACATTGTGCCCCTGCCAGCTTAATCTGGAGTCGCATAAATCCAAACCATAAATCATAAATACATAAATCACGGATTGAGCCTGCGAACAATGGCCGCGAAGTTGTGGTATATCGTCGGAAGTACACGACCAGGACATGGTCGGTGAAAGTCCTTGACCGTGTGGACTGTGTAGTTTTGATTTGCCCAATGCTTGAAGAATTAAAAGACAAGAACGGTACATGAGGTTCAGTAGATTTCCAACATCGGAAAGTAAGAACTGGCTTTTAGAAGTTTTTTGTTTCCCCGATACTAAATTAGGAGCAATCGGAAAATGAAAATGGCAAGCGGACAGCGGAATATCTTTGATTTCAACATATTTTGTATATATATCATTAATATGAAACTTGAAAATATTTTAAAAAGTTAGAAAAACTTTATTGGAAAGTTTTATAAAACCTATGGTTAAAATATTTAAACATTTTTATGTTATTTCGATTATATACTCTTTAAATGTGAAAAAATAGGTTCGAAATCAACTTCTTGCTAAACGGTTTACATCAATTCTCATCAGATGGGAACATAATCATGTGGTTCACCCAGCTTTGTAGAAGAACACCGTAAAGCTCCGCCCGGGTGTCGTTACACGACGAAATTAGCGTCTCAGGATCGCCACGGATCGAGAGCAAATGTCAGGCAGGTTATGTCGATGATAGATGGATTTGCTCTGAAGCCACTGTATGTTGTGGGTGAGGTTAGGAAGTAGAAGCTAATCTTTCACCGCTATTCACTGTGGGAGAGATGGTCAACCCAAGCTGTTCGTCGCACTGTGCACTTTATGGCCTAGTAACGTAGCATCGGAACGTTCTCTTCACACCTTTTCGCCTGGTGAGATAGTCTAGCTGACTACAGCACATTGTATTAACCTTGAAAGTGGCAAGACGTTTTGCTTTGCGTGAACGCAAACGTCATTTTGTCAAACGTCAGGACCGATGCAGCCTCATAGTTCACTGAACTTCCACTCATTTTGAAGGTAACGTGAATTTTCCCTCAAGCTCTTGAATCTGGCCAGAGCTGAGATTTCATAGTAGTAGCCTTCGGAGTAGAGTTGCTTCTAGATGACTGGTTGGAAACGAGAGAACAATTTTCGTGCTGATTCTCCATCACTTTGCGTTGAGGCCAAGAATTCATCTTGGTTTCTCTCCCATCGATACTTTCGTAAACAACGCACGAACACATAGCAAACGCTTACCACACTTTGGAGTTTGTAACTATTCAAAATAACTGTACGTGTTCGTCGTGGGTACAGACAAGTTGACTCCGTCAACATCTATCGACAAATTCACCATGTCCTTTCATTTCAGGATCATCTGTACTCAAAAGTACAACAGGCCTTGGACTGCGATCTCTACAGGCTGCCGTCAAACAGTATGGTTGGAACACGCGATAAGTTCAATCTCAACAGTAAACCAACAGTACTGGTCTCTTATATATGCCTTTCTTCATAGTGAGACTACCCCGTCATGACAACAGTTACACGACACCCTTGGGCCAAGTAGATATTGAAGTCTGTTGGTAAGTTCCTCGTACCAGGTCCCCAGTGCAAGTTAGTGCAAAGTCCAGGAGAGAGTTAATAACTACAGGAATGAGACCAAGGCTGGATTTGGTGACCAGCAGACAACAGTTCTCATTCATGGCGATCAAATGCGTGTGGATCGATGGGGGCATGTACTATCTGAACATGAGGACCGGAGGCATCGATGGAAGATATACGAATCACGAGAGAACAAGATTAAGTCAGAAGTTGCAAAATCATAAGTAGCGAGCTCAATTTTTCAAGGAATCTATACAAATTTCTTCAGTATACATGATATAGTTGAAAGCGCACAATGCGTTGTCCTTGAAACTTTCCAACTTCAATCAGAGACTTAAATTCGTTACAAGTTATCCAGTGCCTGCGTCTGCAAGTTTTCTATCTAGATACAATTTCCTGCTGCCATACAATTCCATAATCGCACCTCGCCTCTTGGCCACCAAGACTTATCTCAAGTTGTCAACAAAAGGTACATGGCCAGAAGTCAACGGGAGCTGCATAAAATTACAATCGGAACACGCCCACAGTTCTATGATGAAAATCCCTTCTTGGGAGTGGAGCTGGCGGCGGACGCCGTGAGGACTGAAGGATCAGCTAGCTTTTGGCCGGCTCTCTCTTTCACATACGCTGCGATTTCCCGGAACTTGGGCACGCAGCGAAGGTCGACTAGAGTGCCATCTTTCAACTCGATGACTAGATCGCCCCATTCTCCGATGAAACGCGGAACAAAACGTGCATCCTTGATGACCTCGTATGAGAAGTCTTTCCGATCCTCGCCCAGCAGCCCGGACGTGATGGTGACGCGCAAATTGGTGAAGCGGTAGCGCAGGAAGAGTGCACGAAAAACAGAGGCTAACGTCAGAGGGAGCCAGACCAACGTGAGCCCGAAAATGAGGTTAGCCACAAGATCCCCGTAATGAGTACCTCCATCGAAGAAAACCTCTTCGCTCTCCGACACCGGACTCCGCGCGAAGCTCGTCACCAGCCGCGAAAATTCTCGGACCTCGAGAGGAGCCGAATGCATCGAGAACTGTCGAGCGGGTGGCAATCTGCACAATTGACGGCCGATGTTCCCCGAAATGCCTGAGCCGACGGTGCGGCATCGCAGCTGCGAATGCGCTTGGGAATTCTCCCGCGCGCTCAATGCCAGCGAAGGCGCGAAGGCCATGTACGAGCATCCCGCCGCGGTGGCCATCGAGCCGACCGTTCGTCGCTCTCACGCTCCTCCTACTCCTCCTCCTCCTCCGACTATCTAACGCTCCCCGCGCCTCGAATCTTCGCTTATTCGCAAGAACGGGCCGACGCGCGCTTCAACGCTCCGATCCCGCGGGCATCATCGTTCTCTCGATGAGATCGGAGCGCGGCCAAACGGAGCGGTACTGGTCTGGAATGTTGGGACATGTTCCGCCATAGCTGCGTGGACGGATGGCCGTAGGCAGGGCCCGAGGGTTTATGTGGATAAAGAGATTGCGTGGCAACGTGTAGACATGAGAACCCTGCTCCGTCTCCGTCCGCCTCTTCAGCCGACACGGACAACTCTGTCACTCGCTCTTCCTTCCGCCTTCGCGTCGACCGCTACTGTAGGCGTGCCGTCGGCATTCCGGTTCGGCAGTCGCTGCCTTTTTCGACCCCATCGACAATGTGAGATCAAGTATACTGTATTCCGATCGAAGACCCTTCTCGTTTCAGTTCGTGGCCTCTGCCGGGAGTCCCTTAACCTGAGTCCGCCAGAAAGTCCAGAAGAAATGTTCGTATTTCGGACTATGATGCATGAAGGAATTCATGCTCGTCACATACTGTAATGTCCGTCTCGACAGTGGAGCCTAACCTTACCTATAGTGACATAAGCCTGACACCTCTCGTGTCATACAACCTCAAATTTGCGCACTGCATGCATTGGTTAGAAACGGTTGGATCTGGATTTGGGGAACAAAAAATTGGAATAAAATTGGGTGCATTCTCCTGAAGAAATATAATCTAACTGCAAACCAGAACTTTTTTTATTTTTTATTTTACAGAAATTGCTTTAAATTTTCATTTAAATCATTTCTTGATCATAATGTATCTATGTAATCCTTTACAGAGATATTCATAACACAAAGTTCAAACAAATCATGGCTTACAATATACAAATTTTTATTCAAATGCCTTCAATTGTTTTAAAATTTATATATATATTTGAAGTTTTCACAAGAAAAACAAATTATTTCTATAATTAACTAAATGGTATGAAGTTTTAATAAAACTTGAAGAGATTAAAGCTAAGATATTCATAGAAAATTTGAATTTAAAATTTATTTAGAATATAACGTGATAGTCTAAAATTTAATATTAAACAAAATTAAGTAAATTCCTTTATCTTTAATACTTGAAAATACTAATATTTAATATTTCAATAAGATTTAATATTTAATAACCATAAAAGATAAATTTGAAAATTATTTCAACATCATATTTACATACAAATAATTATTATACAAATTTAAATTTTTTAATAAATTTTTTATTCCTTTATTAAAATCTCAAATTTTACATTGTACTTCAATCTATTTTTCCTTACATAAATAAACAAAAATTTGACAGTTTTTAAAATTGATGCAATTTGGAAAGCTACATTGAAATATTATCTGTGTCATCATAAAGTATAGAGGAATTTCTGCTATTATAAATTAAATTAAATCTTCATTTAAAAATTGACCTGAATTTGTCAATTTGAATGTCAATCAAGCATTGATTCATTTATCATATCAAATTTCATATTGAACTTTAATCTTCTATATATATCAAATAAACACTTTTTTTTTGTAATACTGATGTATATTTGAAAAAAAAAGTGTGAGATAGAAAATTAAGTAAATTATGTTTTCATCAATGAATAAAATAATTTTCAATGATAATGATAAATTTTTTTATGCAATATACTTCAATCCAATGTTTATTACTATATTTTTTTAAATAAATTTAGTAGGATTTACAAAAAATTTCGTTGTAGTATATAAGTAAATAATTAATTATAACAATATAATATCTTCAAAAGTATATTTGATATGAATATGACAAAAAAATACATCTCAACTGCGCATATATTTCTTAATCATACATTTGAAATCAACAAGTATTTGATTGATCAACGATGCTAAAATTGCAACAAAATAACATAGTTATGTTTTCTAGAATAATAATTTTTTGCTTCATATCAAATTATTTATTTTTTGGAATAATATTTTAAAAAAATCATTTAAAATTTGTAGCCATCATAATTGATTTTTATTCCTTCATTATTAAAATATAATTCTTTTGATAAAAATTTCAAAATAGAATGAAAAAAAACTGATTGCAAGTGTGTAAATGAGTAATGAAAAAAAACGAGTTATTATTTTAATTATGTCAAATAACATATATTTTTTGAAGATGATGTGAGTGCAATTATTATTCATTCCAAACAATCTTCATACAACATGAGACACTTTATGCACTTAAAAAAAAATTAATGAATAAACTTTGATTAGAGTCTAAAAGATAAAATGTAGAGCTTAAATTTTTTAATTTGATTTACACAATGAGTTTTAATACTTTAGTAGGAGTGTTACAATGCTTACAATATCAAGTGATATAATTGAGCCATAATATTTTATTTAGTGTTCACAACATGCAAATCATCAATTAACGAAACAAAATTTAATAAATTATCATATTAAACAATATGAAGGTTTGATAATACATATTGATAATAAAAGTTGTGTCAAATACTTGTTGATTGAATTCTGGAAATTAATTATGTAGAAATGAACAAGGTTATGATTAAAATAACAAAAATATGAACCATAAAATATTTTTCAATATTATCAAAAAAAAATTTCATTTTCTTGGGCTATAAATCCCAATATATTCATGATTTGTTTGCAAAATTTTTTCAACTTACATGTATAGAATATAACTTCTATCAATAGTGTTAAATTATATGAGTGACATCATATCATCAGTGACATCAAATTCTAAAAGTTTAGTTTGTAACTTAAAATTTTGCTAAACACTAAAAGTACGTAATTATACGTCAGTACGTAATAGTGACATAATAGTATTAGATAGAGTCAGTTCGAAATGTAATTTTGGAGATATTAATTATTATCATAGTCAAAATAAAGAGAGATAAGAAAGAAGAATGCAATACATTTATTTAGACGTTTGTTCCAACAGTTCATTCTACTTGGGCTACAATACAATACTTTATTACATATTGTTTGAGAGATACAACTTTCTAAAATGTTTACAAGTGAATTAACAAATGATGAGCTCTTTAAGAGTTTTAAGAGTAAATTACTTTTAAATTTCTCTCCATACAGATGATTGAAGATAGAATTTTGACGTTCACTAAAGATGAGATCTCAACAACATCATTCTCATTAGAAAACTCCACTATGCAAGAGTGTGTAATATCCCACTATAGACTTGACAATGCTAACATCATCAACTTTAATATCATCAAAACAATACAAGCAAATGAAGTTAATCTTACAGCCAAACAACATACATATAGAATGTTATGAGCTCAATGGAACGTCTCATAAGAATGTTAAGTATTTTATTCTTGTAAATAACGACTAGTGACGTCCAATTCTAGCGGTAGTGTTTTCCAATAGTTAAAGACACTGCTGGAAAGTAAAACATTACATATTAATTAATTCAAAATATTTAAAATGTTAATCAAAGTTTAAATCCTAACACAAAACTGCAATCATATTTTGTTTTGAAAAATGTCAAATAATTTTAAAATTAAATCTACATGAAAAATTTAACCAGCATAAAAATCAATTTATTAATAAAATAATCATATATTCTTTCGATATTTACAATCAATCAGGAAAAAAACTAAAAAAATTTAAAATTTTAATTATGAAAATGATTATAAATTTAATACATTTATCAATTATGATACATTGTAAATAAATTAAAATTTTGATTTATTTAATTTTGAATTCTAAATAAGTTAATATATTTAAAATTATATAATTATAAAATTTCAAATGCTTAATATATTTGAAAATAAATTTATTATTCTTTTATTTACAAAAAATATTTAATTTTTATCTGTTGTATAATGCATGAATCATATTGTATGATTAATTGTTATATATTTAGAGAAATCTGAATTCAAATTTTTGATATAAGCTTATCATTATCACATATCATGAATAATTTATGTTTATTTTTGTCTTTTTAATTGATATTACATGAGTCAAAGCTAGCCAAATCTTCAAACAAGCTTATTTTTTTATTTAAAGTACTACATATATATTGAATATATAAAAATTAAAAGGTTAAATTAGATCAAGTTTTTTCAGTATGAATTAATATACATGAGATAAAAAATTTGAAGAATGTGACAAAAATGATGTACTTTTTAAATTAAAATTATATTGTATGTCAAAATTATATTATTTGATTTTGTTTAAAAAACATGAATTTTTAAACTGTTAAATTTTTTTTCACATATTGGAACTTTTGAAAATAAATCGTAAAGACTTTGTATATCAATAATGATTAAAAGGTAATAATAGTAGAAAGAAAATAGTAATAAAAAATTAAATAAATAATTTATAATGATTATCAATCAAACAATGTATAGGGTAGGGATATTTATATTATATAATGTGTGATAAGATTTTTTTCAATCAATGACACATGTGAAGTATGCATGGGCAATAAATTGATCATGCATTTGCTGAAGAAAATGATTCCAGTGGGGCTAGACCGCATGTGTTGAAATCGCAATGAGCGAGAATCACAAACACATTAATTTAAGTGTTTGTGAGGACAGTTACGTGCACCGTTGCAGAAACAATCACGAAGCAGCACGGATCCAAACTCCGCCATGTCCTTCGTCACTCGGAAGCTCGTAGAGTAAAGAGGCGAAGAAAGGGCTGGCCCTCTCGCGCGGCATTGACGCGGTCCAGACTCGAGGGAAGGGAAGGAAGGCAGTGGGGCCCGCCAGGGCAGCGACTCCGACCTTGGAGCATGGGCGGAAGGATGGCTAGAGCCCACAGACGAGGAGCAGATGGCAAGCAAGGACCACGGTGGTGCTGGTGCTGGTGGTGGGGCCCGCGTGAGCAGGCAGCGAGTGATGTGGAGGATGAGTCTCTTGTGGACCGGAGCCGAGTTACACGGGCGCAGGTCGCGGAGCCGAGTTACGAATGTGGACGACGTCGTGAGTTCTCGTCCGCTGGAGGCTTGATTGGAGCGTGGGTCGGCTTTTCGGTCGTTCTTTGATGTGCATGCTCTGCGTCTGTGCGACGCTGGTCGGGCAGAGGTCGTCGAGCGCAGCAGGAGGAGGAGGAGGAGGAAGAGGGGCCAGGTGAGGACAAGCTTCTGGGGAAGGTGGAGGGCGATGGCGAGTGTTTTGTTGCCTGAATGTGCAGAGTGGGAGGAGGAGTGAGAACGGGAGCGGAAAGCGGAGGAAGTTGTATGAATGGGCACCCGAGCCTTTCGTTGAAGGTCGAGATCGAGCCGTCGTGGTCATTGTGTCAAGAGAGAGACAAGAGTAAGAGGGTGGGGGCGGAAAGTTCTGCGGGGCAGGGCCCGGATGGAGGTTGTTCCTTGACTTTAGCACAGCCTGCCTGCCTGCCCGCCCGATGCTTCAGGAGAGAGCCAAGCGAGCACCTAGTCTAGCGGGACACTTCATCTCTTGGCTGGAGCCGTCTTTCCTGAGTTCGCTCGCCACGTGCCGTCTCCCGTCTGCTTCCTCGGACATCACGCGCGCCCTCTCTCGCAGTACTTGACAGACGGCCTTCTCTCATTTCTCCGCAGCAGGGTAGGAGCTCCTCACCACCAGTTGTCGATTGATTTGGTGCATGCAATTCCCTTGCTCTTGCATTTGAAAATCTCTTCTCGCTTCACCTGAAATTCTCGATTCGTTTGCCAGCATTCCGGTGCTCTGTGTACAATTGGTTTGGCCTCGCGGAAGCATTGCCGAAAAAATTTCTGAAAGCGTTGCATGCCTTGGGTATCGATCAACGCATCCTTCCTACATCTCAGAATCTGACACCGATCTTTGGCTTTCTTCTTTCGATGATGTTCCGTTGGCGTTGATTTTTCATTTCTAGCTACGTTAAGGTCTTTGATTGCTTAGGGTCTGCCTCATCCAACCTTTGCCCATCAGCAAGACTTCTCAAATTGATTGAATTGTTGATTTATTCAACAACCCGATTCAGAACTTGAAGACCTGCTGCGATCTTTCTACCAATATCAAGTCTTCCTCCACTTGTCAGACTGGACGCTCTGTCCGCTCTCACACGTGAACTTAGAATCGGATAAAGAGTTTCTAACTCACTGATTCGATCACAACCAGGCGTTAAAAATTATAGAAATATTTTGTTAACCCACCTCTAGGGCATTCAGGTCTCCTAGAAGGGATTCGCAATTGGTCGCCTTTCATTTTTGCGTTTGAGCCTACTACAATTCATTGTTAGTTTTCCTTCTTACGCCACTTTGAAGGGCTCTGTTGCATCGTGTTATTGCTGTACGCGAGATCTCCAGGCCACCTTACAATCTGGTGTGAGTCTGGCAGTCAGCCTAGCCTATGAGTTTTTTAATCTATGATAGGTCTAGAACGGAGCTGTCTGATTGTTTTTTTACATCAGACAGGTGACATATGTGCATGAACGGGGAAACGTTGTTTCTCAGCTTGCTTATCGTTGTGAATGCTGATTGAGGCGGCCCAGCTCGTTTAGTGCGCGTTGTGAGAAGCAGGAACTCAAGTTTGGCTTATCTCCTAGGCGCACCTTTCAGAGTTTATTGTGGTTGGAATTTTTTTTCCTCCACAATAATCCGGCCGTCTTGATGTACCTGATACAGAGTATTGCAACATAACCAGCGCAACACGCACTCACGAGGACGTCGTAATTGTATTGGCAAAGACGCTCTTAGAGTAATACTTGACGTCCGTCGCCGTTGAAGTATCACTTCACAGTAGCCCAGTCTAGTATTACAAGGTTTCATGCTGTAGTACGTTGCGAGTCTCTTTCTAAATTTCTATAATTTATTTGTCTTACCATAGAAAACAGGTGCGCAGTTTGTGGCTGGAGTACTAGCCCTTACTAGGTGCTTTGCAGCTTTGTGGCCATTCAATCTCCCAGTGTCACATTCATAGCCTTGATGCTGTATGTTTGCGCACATCTGCTAATCGAATTACCTAGTTTTTAGATTCTCACGGGGTTAACTGCATGCTTCCATGCAGACAAGAGCTTCTGAACTCCATCCTTACAACCTTTGAGCACGTCATGGCCACTGCAGATTCGAATTCACCGGCCAGCCCTCTTGACAGTCCAGGAGACGCTCTGCCATTGTTGACTGTGAGTCCTAAGTCCGAGGAGAATAGCACCGGTGGAACAATGACGGCAGTCGTTGTTAGCATCCTGATTCCGGTTCTAGTCTCCTTGGCTCTGAGGAGGAGGGGCCAGAAAAAGAAGAGCGCTGCTGTGATTGTTGACGTGGGTGGAGAGCCTGGATATGCAATGCGCAATCCCCGATACCTCAGTTTGTTGGAGACTCCATGGGAAGGAGCGAACACCATAGCTGCCTTGTTTGAGGATTCTTGTAAGAATAATCCGTCACAGCCTCTGCTTGGTACACGAGAACTCATTCAACGAGAAACGATTAAAAGTTCGGATGGTAGGCCTTTTGAAAAGGTTACTTTGGGCAAATACGTGTGGCAAAGTTACAGCCAAGTATATGAGAGAGTGGTCAACTTGTCCGCTGGACTTGTGGCTCTCGGCCTCAAGAAGGGTGAAAAGGTGGCCATCTTCGCAGAGACCAGAGCTGAGTGGTTCATCGGTCTCCAGGTAATTTAGCTAATCTTGGGCTCCGATATGTGTCTATAGCAGTGCACGAGGTGGATTGGAAGCTATTCGAAGTTCACTTAATTTTTCCCTTGTGTTCGCGTGTTTTTCGAACAGTTTTCGTAGAGGTATATTGCCTTGACTCCTCTCTCTCCTATCCCGTGAATCAGGCATGTTTGCGACGCAACGCCACCGTGGTCACCATATACGCGTCCCTGGGTGATGAAGCGCTATCGCACTCCTTCAATGAGGTATCGTTTGTTAACTTAAATGAAGATCTCAACGGTTCCCATGTATGCATAAATTCACATTTCCCAGTTATCCGTAGCAAGCATTGTCAAATTATAAGTTCGTCGTACTTTGTGGACGAAATGCTCCATCTTTTACAATTCAGTTGACTCTTTGACCAGGTGTGATGCCTAGAGCAACGTTGCTCTTAATCTTTCACTGGGAAAGTCCACCTTGCATCAGGCATTCATACGATGAGAATGAGTCGATCATGTCGTAATTCTACCTTAGAAAGATATCCTTGAGTCATTTGATATGAGTTATTACTGCTTAGAAGAATAACGTACCCAAGGTTGACCGAAGAGTATTATATGGAGAATCAGTAGATTCTGTTCGAGGAATCTGGACTTATCTCATATGTGTACAGTAGCCTCCCGCTTAAGTACGCACTTTATCAGAAAATTTTCACGGATCAACAATTTTTATCTACTTTACTGTAAATTTCAAAGATTTCAATATTTTCAGCGATTTCACAGTCGAGAGTAGAATACTGACCCATTCAATGCCCTAGAGCAAGGGAAGGCAAGCGAGAGAAATCTAAGCATCTAGGGCGGGGTTGGGAAAAGGCCTAAATACAAATATCTCTTTCCAATAATGTAGTCCTTTGCTTCTTTGTATCATGACACATCTAGAGCAAAAATGATCATCTGACACCCGGGGAAAATGGGGGTATCATATGGTGCATGATACCCATATTATTAAATGCGGGTGGTAGGGGGAAAGTAAGCGTTTGAAAATAGACAAAAATAATGGCGCAGTGCCAAAGATCTTTCGGATCTTTGGCACTCGCGAACGGAGTGGCTGAGAAAATTGCCCACTTATTGCTAGATGCATCATTAATTTCATACTCACGCACTAAAGCCAGTTTGCTTGGAGTATTTTACTTTATCAGTTTTGAAATAATTTCACATCGTTGGGACTCGTTCAGGCACTTGGTGTTCAATACCTTGGGACATTGGAACTGATGATCTGGAAATGAAAATGTTAAGTACGCAACTCCCGGTTAAGTACGCACAGACATTTAGTGTTCAATGTGCGTACTTAAGTGGAGACTAGTGTACTCTTGCGTATAACGATATAGAACGTTTTTACCTCATTACTATGTTTTTGGGTGCTTGTTTCTGTGATCTGGCCGTTTTAACGTCTATCTCAAAGTGGTTATTTGACTTGTAGCAGTTGCATCGCTCACCCGTGTCTGTACATCTGTACAGGAGTAGTTCCTACGACACGTTGATTGGCGTTATGTTATCTAGCAAACATTGTTCACCATCTTCAGCATGGAGTGAATCACATGCGAGTTCTCTTCTGTTCTGTGGACTACATTATTTGTCCAGTACCGGTCGAGTTCAGTTTGCATTGACGAGGCGAGAATTGTGCCACCTGTGTACCCTGTTTGTGATTTGTCAGACGGAAGTTACGACAGTTATCTGTGATCGAAAGCAGTTGAAGAAGGTGCTGGATATGAGCGCCCAGCTCGAGACTGTGAAGCGCGTTGTCTTCATGGATGATGATGCTATCAAGTCAGAACCAACCCTGTCTGGGGCCAGTAGCAGCTGGATTGTAGAGCCCTTTGCAAAGGTTGAGAGCTTAGGAAAAGAATCTCCTGTGGAACCAGACTTTCCATCTCCATCAGATGTTGCAGTCATCATGTATACTAGTGGAAGTACTGGTTTGCCCAAGGTACTGAATCTCATTTTTCTTCCAGCTGTTCAGGCTCTGTGCCGCTGAAATACGTGCTTGGCAGATCTATTTCCCTGCATTATGACAGTTCAACCTTTGACACTTGCATCTGGTAATTTGCCGAGCAGGGTGTAATGATGACACACGGAAACATTGTTGCCACTGTCGCGGGAGTTTCAACAGCAATTCCGAACCTTACCCCGCACGATATCTATCTCGCATATTTGCCTCTAGCTCATGTACTTGAACTTGTAGCCGAGGTACTTACCTTAGACGCTCCTCCGTTTTTTTCCACCTTCCTTTGGTTTTTGAGTGTTTTTCTTTTCCGTCCAGATATCTGAGAAGAAATACATACATAGTTACATCAATTCACGTTTTGTTCAGATAACCTTCTGCGCTGGCGGATCTTCCATTGGTTATGGGTCACCAATGACTCTGACAGACACATCAAACAAAATCAAGAAGGGTACTAAGGGTGACACCTCAGAATTGCAGCCTACTCTTATGACTGCAGTTCCGGCAATTTTGGACCGTGTGAGGGATGGTGTTCGGAAGCAGGTTAGCTACATTATCTGCGCTCATGATTTATGATTCGTTCCTACTTTTCCGAAGCACGACATCAGACACTTAATCTTTATGTCCACAGAAGAAACAGTCGAGAGTGAGCTCAGATTCAATAATTCGAGAACAGTTAACGTTCTACTCTTTAGTTGAAAATATATTGTGAACCCCAAAATCACTACTGCCTCATCATTCAGTGTGAACCATAGAATCACTAAAGCCTTGTTGATCAATTTTGGTTTTTCTTGTCAGGTGGACAACGCAGGTGGTCTGAAAAAGAAGATGTTTGACCTGGCATACAACAGGAGATTGGCTGCTATCGAAGGAAGCTGGTTTGGTGCTATTGGTCCTGAGAAAACCCTGTGGGATCAGGTTGTGTTCAAAAAAATTCGTGCTGTTCTTGGAGGTCGGGTTAGAGGTGTGCTCTCTGGAGGTGCTCCTCTGTCTGGAGACACGCAGCGATTTATGAACGTTTGTTTTGGGTACGACCATCTCTCGATTTATTTTAAGTTACTTGGATAATGTCGTTGTGACCTTCTCTTGTTGCCGGAAAGAACATTAAGGTGCTCATTTTAAAGTCGTTTGGTGAGCCAAGCGCTAAATTAGATAGTATCTTGAGATAGAACCTATTCATCAAAATAAAATTGTGAAAGAAATCTTGGATTTGCTTTGGTGTGTTTTCATGAATCAAATGTGAGCACATGATATGGTGACGATTACGCGTAACCAATACCAAGTCAGATTACCAAATATAGAATACAAAATTATATACCTTTTACTTCCTTTTAAATATGGATATAGATCTTGAGTTTCTGGAAAAGAAAGAATGGTCAAAAGTTATTCTCAGTTATATTTTCAAAAATAGAACATTTTAACGTTATCTTAATTTTTACTCCACTGTTTAGTCTATTTCAGTAAATAATACAAACTCAAAGAATACCTATAATGAACAAACAATTAGATAGATGATTGATTTGTTTCCGTTTTTTCTGCAGAGAATACTAAGTAATATTTCCTTATATGAGTAAGTTAGTAGAATATTACATTTATCATATAGAGATTATAGATTGTTGATATTTATTTGAAAATAATGGTGCTAGTTAACAAACGGCACAAAGTTTATTCATTTAGTGTAATCTGAATTGCTAAAATATCTCCCTTCGTGATACTGTGAATAAGAATTTTTTAGTATTTTTGTTTATAATTCTTTCCAATGTTTGTTGTAAAAAAAAATATATATTAATTGTATATCATATATTAGATTCAAACATTTGTTGAGAATGGAATCCAATATCTAAATCTCAAATGATGGTATTTTTTTAAAATTTTTTTTATTTTAAAATTTCCTGATTTATAATAAAATGTATGTATAACATAGAACAGAATATAATATGAGTTATTTAAAATTATAAGATTTTTTTAAGATTTAGATTTAACAATCTAACAAATTGATGTTCCGAAACACTTTATAAGCAATCACATGCTTAGAAGTTGTTTTCAAAACCAACATCAATTGCGTAGTACAGTACATGCGAAGAGTACATGAATGATAATAATTTAAAACGTTCAAAATAGCTGTTTGATAGAAAATTGTATTCTTTGATAAATATGCCACGTAATATGTATAGTTTATGCTATAAACACATAGTTAGAAAAGTGACCTCCGAATAAAATTATATTAACATCAAATTTAACGCGTTTTGAAACAACTATGATACATTCTAGATACGAACTCGGAAAATGTGATATCCTTCGAAATATAATGTTTATATAAGATGATGATTTCATACATATGAAGATCAAAGATGTATGTAAAATATTGATGATGATATTAATTACATATGTTTGTAATGATGATTATAACATTTCAAAAGAAAATATTATAATCATGAATTTCAATCATCTATTCATGAGATATATCTCATTATCAATATATATCTCATCGATAGATGAAATATATTGACTGTGGTCCGAGAGTACTAAATAATTTTTGCACTAATTGTTGTTGATCATTGCACATATGTAATGTAGTTGAGGAGTGATGGCTGTTGATAGGTATGGGATGAGAAGATTGATGTCAATCAAGATCTCTAAACAAGAATTTATAGCCTTAACACATCTGGATATTTTCGTTGAAGAAAAGAAATTGTGCATCAGAAGACTGCTTTCATTTTCTCTGTATAATATGTAGAATATTGTCTCATATACTAACACTATCAATGTAAACCAGGTAAGCTTTGTCAAATGTATAATATTTGTACACAATATGTGAGAGAGAGTTCAATAAGTTTGCCAAAAGTCTATAGCTGAAAGTTTCGTGTTTATTCCGTTTCTACTTTCTAATGTGTTATTTGATCCAAGTCCGTTTTGAGTGTTAAAATTGAATAGTACGAAAGTTTTTAACTTGGAACACAACTAATGATTATTTCGCATAGTCAGATCATACCAACCATGAGTTGCATTTTCCAGTTGATTTGAAATAACAATCATTTGAAGCTAAAGCTTGTATGGCTAGTTTTGTTGAAAAGATATTCAACTTAGAGTATATACATTGCATGTGATCATGTATTCAGGTCTCGAAATGTTATCAAGTGAGAGTTTTACTAGAAGTTAGGGTGAAATTTGCTCTTCAAAACTTAGAAATGTCTTCGAAAGGCTTTGTCCAGTTTTGGTGTCCTTGGTCATGGGTGATAATATCATTTTGAAAATAACCACAAATGATGAAAAAACAAAAAAGAAAAATGTGTCATAAAAAAATGTATCAAGTCTATCTTATAGTTATAAGTTAGTGTTTTTCTCCTCTAGTGAAAATAGATATATACATAAAATTGAAATCTTAGCCATCAATCATGAACAAGCGCTGTTGATCATATCATAAATTTTCAAGTATTGTGTTCTTCAATGGATTAGATTACATACGTTTTTTTTAATCTTCCTACACAAGATAATACACACATGGATACAATGAAAGAAGAAAACTCTCTCAATGTTTTGAATTTTTCCAAATCTGTTAACATCTATGCGACATATACTATGGGTCGTATGTTCGAAATTTTCACATTTGTTATCATTCATGTGAGATTCGCGATACTTATTGCTTGAAATCATGAAGTGAGTCAATGTGTTTACATGTAGTAGCACAATTTAGATGTAATTTAAAATCATGATCTTATTTAGAAAGTAGAAATTTGAAATCCATGCCCATTTATTCATAAACCATTAGTTAAATAATGAAAAAATAATAAATCTAAACTCTGCATTCTTTGTACTGCAAGTCAAACACTATTCATAGTTATCGGCATGAGTACGTTTTATGCTTATCAAGAGTTTAATGCAATCTGAACTGGGTTATTCTCTTGCAAGGTTGTTGTAAATCTGGTTATCTAGGGATTGAGAGCTTTAACGTGGGTTACATTTATATCATCATAACAAAAGTATATTTTATGTTATTTTGGTTGGTACGTTAGATTTATTAAATTTCGTTTGAACGATAGTGTTTTTGTTTTTGATGTTTAATGTGGAAATTCATAGTTAATATACTGTTAATAAGTGTATTTTGGTCTAGTATGGATTTTGCATTTAGTTTTTAACTTTCTTCATTGTTTTGTTTGAAATACGAAAGAATTGATCATACTACTATGACCATGGTATCATAATGAATCGTGTATTTTTTTAACAGGACAAAGTCAGTTGTCTTTTCTACGTCTAGATTTCATGTAATATGACATACATTTAAAAGCATATCAATCAACTGCAGGAAGACGATCGAAACAGTCAATTTTTCTCGGTCAACCTCATGGTCTTTCTGGTGACTGACGTCGATCGGTTTATGTCTGCAGAGCACCCATTGGACAGGGGTATGGTCTTACAGAAACTTGTGCCGGTGGAACATTCTCCGAGTGGACTGATACTTCAGTGGGCCGTGTAGGACCACCTATTCCTAGTGCCTACGTGAAGGTACTTGGATTACAATTGTCCTCTTGACTTATCAACTTCTGCCATTGAATTGAAATCGAACAATAAATGTTATTTCTGAACATGTATGACAATGTTTCCACCATGGTTACCATGTTGACACCATGTTTTGTGCAACAGCTTGTAAACTGGGATGAAGGAGGTTATAAAACGACGGATTCACCAATGCCTAGAGGCGAAATCGTGATAGGTGGACCGACTGTCACGTTGGGTTACTTTAAAAATCAAGCAAAGACGGATGAGGTCTATAAGGTTAGTACGTTTCTTTATGTAGGCCAAGCAGCTATCATCATGTGAATCTTCCTTCCAAGATTGACCTGTTGGAGTTATTGAACGCAAATGAAATTGTGTCATAAATATGTTTGCCAAAATAACTAATCAATATCTCACTATTCGACCGTTTAATATTCAGGTGGACGAAAGAGGTATTCGGTGGTTCTACACAGGAGATATTGGCCGTTTCCATCCTGATGGATGTCTTGAAATCATCGATAGGAAGAAGGATATCGTGAAACTGCAGCATGGAGAATATGTTTCTCTCGGAAAGGTAAGAAAATATGTGAAAATTTGTTATATCGAGATCGCTCAACTTCATTTACAGTTATCAATATGCTGGCGGATAAAGAGAGATCAATGATGTCTGTCTTCGTCACTAGAGTATTGTATACAAAATTCATTAGCCTCGGTCTAAGGTCTAAAGGAGCCACCCTGGGTTACGGTTACCGGGGTTTTTATCTCATCAAATAGATGAGCGTGTAAAGGTTTTACCACAAAGCCTAGGTGTTGTGGTTGCTTTTATATCGTCTGATGCCCGCCGGTCGATATCTTATCTCTCGACCAAACCTCCTGAAAAGGAGTCCGTTAGGTTTACTTTGTTGGCATGTTGACTCTTCTTATTACTAGTCTCAATTGAACTTTCAGTTAATTCGGGATTTTGCTTTGGCATTTATGATAAAATCTTTTCGTCTCGATGTGGTAAATTTCCCTCTTGCTTCAATTTTATAGGTGGAGGCAGTGCTCATGGGCGGTCACTACGTGGACAGCGGCATGCTTCACGCTGATCCGTTCCACTCGTACACCGTGGCTCTGATAGTTCCCAATCAATCGGCTCTTGAGAAATGGGCGAAGCAATCCAACATCTCGTTCGACAGTTTCGCAGAACTTTGCGATAAAAAGGAAGCCGAGCAAGAAGTTCTTTCGGATCTTGTGAAGGTACACGGTCTCTCTTGCCTGGCAATACCCATTCATACTGAGTTTGTATTTTTCTTTATATGATTCTGTGTAAAGTTGAATAGTGCTAATTCTTGCTAGAGGTATTTCACTTTAGTTGGTACTCCCAATAATTCCCTTAGTAACGTCATTTTTCAAAAATGTTCATTATTCTTTTGAAATGTGTTCTGTAAAGTCCATGATTCGAAATGTCAGCTGACTGGGAAGAGGAACAAATGATTAGCGAAGACTACTGGATATTTTATCCTCCAGATTTCCCCATCTGGTCACCCTATGCTTTCTGTTCTTCTCTCGAGCTCGTACCGTCTGTCTGTTGTTCAACGTAAGTGCTGAGAGTGTAGGTAGGGGAGAAAATAGCTCATGGATTTCGAAAGTACATGGTGCTGATGATTGATCATCGATTGCATCTGCAGGTGTGTAAACAGGGTAAACTGGAGAAAACTGAAATACCAGCAAAGATCAAGCTCTTGTCGGAACCGTGGACACCGGAATCTGGCCTTGTGACTGCTGCATTGAAAATCAAACGGGAGAATATCAGGAAAACTTTCGCAGAGGAATTAAAGAAACTGTACGTGTAAGATACAGTAGTGCTGAAATAGATCATAGAGTTGACAGAGGAAACCGTGTAGGATTAGCTGTGACAGGTTTGTCAGGTAAAAATTTTGGGTCTGAAATCGTGCCGATGTTGGGAGTGCAATTGCACCACCTCCTGTATTGAGCTACATTCACTTTCCTAAGTGAGATGAATATGAAAAGAAAGCAAGATCACTGTCGGATGTAGACAATTTGAGCCTTATTGTCTTAAACTGGTGTATCATATCTGCAAGTGCAGAACGCGAGGTTAGAAGGAGAAATGGACTCCACCTTCGTAGTAATTTTGGGAACTTGTTTAATGCTTTGCTTTTTATTCCTAATAAAACGGAGGTTTAGTTGTCTTATTTTTACAATGAGTGGTGTAAGTGTAAGTTGTTTTTGAATCTATATTAAAATTTGGTAAAAAAATATGTCTAAATTTTCATCATCTTCCAAAGATGTATTGAAGTCAGAAGTAGCACTAAAACATGGAGGAAACTACTTGATGGTACTACTTGGAAACTCTTGAAGGGACTCAACAGGTATTATTGCTCCGATGGGACTCCATTCGACGGCCACCGTAACCCATATTTTTACAACCTACTGATTTGCTATAGAGTGGGGAGTATTTTGGCCGCTAGTTCGCAGCCATGTGTAAGAAAACGGCGGGCACTATAAGTCTGATTTCGCTGGATAGGGTCTTGCGATGACTTCATGTTCTACTCGAAATAATCCCAGATAGTATTGGAACACCATTCACCCCCAATTGTAAAAAACCCATGGGCACTATTCTCGCGCTCCAATTGGGTTTAGAGTCTTCGCTTGCTGCACTTGGCTAGGGTCTGGCGGTCAGTCCTGACTTCAGACCGCGACGGAGACAAGGGGTCGTGTCCCGTGTCACTGGCCCGGAGATCAGAGTTCGAACCGTAGAGGAGGTAGAGTGCCGGCCCTTGGCTAGAAAGCGACCATTTGCCGGTTTTAGAGTGAGAGTGAGAGTTTGAGTAGCATTGTTCTCCAAGGGAAAGCCGAGCAAGGCCAACGGAAGCAGCGATGGCGTCGTACCCGCGTGTGCGCACGTTGCTTTGGTTCGCTGTCATGCTTCCTGTTCTTTAAAATTGGGGGTGAGTGGTGAATAGCGAAAAGTGAGTGGTGACTAGTGGCTCCCATAATGAATTGATAAACCCAAAGTAAAAAGTAGTGGCTAGTTATCACTCAGTTTGGGTTAATTATACCTCATACTAGGCTAATGTACAGTACTTCTTATCATTACCTGTGAAGATTATATCACACAGCTCTAGTAAACATAGGGATAGTTTTGACCAATCATAGAACTCTGTTCTGTATAATATAATAGTGTGAGGGAATATTAGCCCAAATGGAGTGATAACTAGCCACTCCCAAAAGAAAAATATCATATTTACCAAAGTATACACAAAGTACCATCTCCTTCTTCTTCCATGCTACCTACATAAATATAAAATGTGAAATATTCACCGGTAAACTGTGAGATATTCTACATGGAGTACTTGTCATCTTATGTAATAGGATTATAGCTCATCATAAGTAATTGAGTGCTAACTTCCTGTAACTGAATAAAATTTAGAGAAAAGAAAGTCAAAATGGATATATTTGAGTTAGACTGAAGCATTTAGCATCAAAAAATTGTTAATAGTGAAAATAGATAACAATTTGTAAACAATTACATTTAGATTATGAGAACATTTGCACGCAATACTATTTGTTCGTCATAACAGAAAATAGAAAATTTCCAACAAATTGGATGAAGTAGATTTCAAAGAATATGTTTATCGTAAACCAAACAAAATCTATAGTTAAAAATTTTAGATTGAGAAGTCTGGTTCTTATGAAAATAATATTAGAAGTTTAGATCTTGGTAATTTAACAATGATAGATCATAAGCTACAACATGACCGCATTGCTTGGAGTTGAATTTACTAGGTTGTACTATAATTCGTTTTTATTTTATAGTCATTAACTTCAAAAAGCAAGATACAATTATGTTGAAAATTATCAAATCTTTGAGCTTTGTACTTCTTGTGCAGTTTTGATTATTGAAAAGTAAATATATTATAGATTCAAAGTTTGGTGTAAACAAATTTGAAGACATGTTTTCAAAACGTAATGATTCATTTTGAATATAGAATTTGAAGTTAAGAGTTATTGGAAAGATTGATCAAATTGCTTCATAGTTATATTGTTTCTATGATGATATGTAGTTTTATGATAATGCAAAAAAAATACACTTTAAATTAGATGATCAAATTTGATTCATTTTTTATCAAAACTTCTTTGATTTGCATAAGATAAAAAATACATAATATGATTTTTAATTTTTTCAAGTTTGATAAGGAGTCAATGTAATTTTTTAAAATTGAAATGTATAGCACATGGATGAAATATTGATTCAAACATCCTTGAAATATTTTGGGTAATATTACAAATGCTTATTATCTACAAAGACAGATTTTTTTATCAAATAATCCACTGAAATGCTATATTATATATTCCACTAATTATTTATTGAATATTATTACTATTTTTTTTCAAATTTTTTTTCATCAATTACATTAAATTTCTTCAAGTTTTTATAAGTTCTATAAATTATTTTTAAATTTAATTTTTTAATTAAAATATATCTTCATTATATTAATATGGTATTTTTATTTAAATAAAAATGGATTTTTAAAGGTTTTAATATATTTTACCTTAATATATTAATATTTTATCAACTACAACATAAAATCAAATTAAAATTTGAGGTGATTGAAAATATCATCTCCGGTTTCATTATACATATACAACTCAAGCTACTTTAAATGCAATGATACATTTTATTTTTATGTAATTTAGTCCAGGACGTAGTAATTGAAAGTGAACCACGTTATATGCTGGCATCTCTCTGGTTGATGGTTTGGTTGTTGGCTTGAGTGCATCATTGAGTCTCTCGGTTTTACATTATTTAATCTTATGTGTAACAATGACCGTGGGGTTCTTCTTTGAGCACAGTTTGACACATGCATTCCAATTGTATGTTGTGTTTGTGGTGTATAGATTCTTTGCTGGCTATCACCATGCTTGTTAGGGAGTACATTAAACAAAATAGTTCCCAACTATAGTCCGGTAAGGAAAGTCATTCACTCACACTATAATCAATAGCATGAACTTACAAAAATTTTGTTTCAAATATAGATGAAGGTGTGTCTTTGTTGGATCTCTAGTATAAAATTAAACTTATTAAGTTCACTAAGATATGTGTGTTAAGATGTTGTAACTAGTTTTTGTTACATACATGGGAAAACGAGTATATATTGATTAAGTATAGCCTATCGTGATAGTAATTTTCTCGACGTGTTAGGATTTCTATTTAGTTTGTGTAAATACATTGTCAAACTATTATATAATGATTAACTTTACTATGCAATGATAGGTAAAAGAAAATTTTGGTGAAGAATAGAAGTCTAACATAACATTTGATTTGGTATTTCGACTCCTATATCGTTCATATGCATCCGAATACGACAGTTTAGCACATGGTGGTGTCTAGTTGACTCGGTGTTAGTCTCTGGTCCCGAAGTCCCCACTGGACCCCAGTCCCGGTGATCACGGCGGCTGACGCACACGTGGCTATCGTCATTATGCCACCAGCTCCACAAGGCGGCGCTTCTAGCATTGATGACCTCATGGACCGCTTCCCTACCTCTTCAGTCCTAGCTCAGGCAGCCGGGCAGGATACGATGTGCCTGCCTGCCCGACCGTGTCTCGGCTTTTACCACAGCAATGCCCATTGTGGCATCTTCCCTGGCAGCTAGTGGACCCATAAACACAATTTTCAGCCGTCTTTTTTCACAGCAAAATCTCTGGCTTTTGAAAGCCGGAGATTAGCAGTTATTGGCATCTTGCTTTACACCGTGGTTGCAGATATTTCATCTTCAAGCAGCTGCGAGAGAATTTCAGAGTCCCCCGATTTTTATTATTTAAAAAAACTATTCGATTTTTTTCCATCTGTAAGTGCTGGAAGCAGACAATGTAGTTGTGCAAAAGCTTGAAGAGAACTGGGTATGAAGATGCACAAGAGTTCCAAAGTTCTAAGGGTCAAAGTGAACCCCAAATCCAGAAACCGATTGTACCCAACTACGAGGTGCAAGGGATTGGTGAACTGGTTTTGACAGCAGTCAACCCAAACAGCCAAACTCCTTACTGAACCTCTTGTTAAAAATCCTCGGGCAAAATTGGCCGGGCATCAGGGCAGCGGAACTGGGTTTCTTTCTCTTACCCATCCAACATGCTGGCGTAAATGCGGTGCTCCACAATTACGATCTGGGCCTGGTGAGCCAACTGTTTGGTCTTTCATGACTGTGAAACAGTCGGAATACATGGAACTCACGGTAAGAGATGACTGACTTTGCAAACACCTTCTCTCTGGCAGGGCCAACTTTCTGGGTTGTCCTTCTACCCCGTGGACAAGACGTTTACACTGGCCGAGTCATCGTCAAATTATGCGGAGCAGTACTGTACTGATCGTCAGAATACTTTATGTATTTTAGTTTCAGTCCCGCTTTAATTCGTGGAGGAAATACCAGTCCAGAAGTAGATTTGTCTCATTCTTGTTGCCACTAATTTCCACGACCTTTTCAAGAGAACCCTGTTCCGTATCTTGTCGATGGATATGTGACAAAAAGTTCCTCGCTGTTTTGGCTTTTGACTTTGCTGGCAAACGCCGTCTGTTGTTCTTGTCTGGAGCTTTCTTCCTCTTTTCCGAACAGTTGTACATGTGAATTTAACACAAAGCAAACAAGAGCTGCGCGTATTTGGATAGATCGGGAAGGCATACGGTGATAATAGAGACTTTAAGCTCTGGAAGAAAAAATAATTTATTTGCTTTAGAGACAGAATTTGATGCTTTTGATCAAATGCGATAGAGAAAACAAGGGAAATAATTGAACCTTAGTGACGCGGAATGCCCGGTGCGAATCTGCAATCATGATTACGGGGACGTGCCTTGAAGAGAGAAGGAGTCCTAGTGTCGCAAATCTCGTAGTTCATGGGGATTGATGAGGAAAAGTACAGTACTGTGTCCAGAGGTGGTGGTCGAGGGGCCATTGACAGTCCACAGCATGCTCAATACTGAATCATCATGTCGAGAGCTCTTTCGGCATCATGACATCGGATTGTGTCATTCTAGCGGAGTGGGACAAACGTGAGTCTGAAGAAACGCCGTGCTTTTGTGACCAATGTCGTTCTCGTCGTGCCATTGACTGCTGTGATATGTTTAGAGCATCAGTGTGACAGCAAGGTGGGATGTAGGTAGTACAGAGAGCATCACATTTGAAATCTGTCATATTT